GAGTTTTTAAGAGTTTAAGAGTTTTAAGAGTTTAAGAGTTTTAGTCAAATGCTTTATAATATAGTATAGATATAGATATTCAATTATGTGTGTATATGTTATCAGGGAGAAAAAAAGGAGAAATGAGAGACAAGAAAGAGAGAGACTGAGTAATGATTTAGAAAAGATGAGAGAGAACCTTTTAAAAATATATTAGATTTTAAGGATTTCATAAATTAATAAGTCTATCTATATCTATACTATATTATAAAGTATTTGACAAAAACTATTAAAAACCATTTATTATGCATGAAGTACTGTATATTGATGCATATTACTTAAAATTCAAAATTACAAGTAAATTATGCATAAATACAACTTATTAAAGCTCCATTTTTGAATTCGTGTAACTAACTGCGGATAAACATAATCAAATAGAGAATAAACATTTTATTTTAAAATAAAAAAGTCTAAAAATATAATTATGATACTTATCGAGTTATAACAAAATAATTAATTATTATCTTTATCAGAAAAATTATATTATTAAACAAAATATAAATTACTTCGTTATTGAACTTAAATTAAATTATGATAAAAAAATTGAATTAAAAAATTACACAAACAATAAGAATTTTAAATAGTTATTTTGATACTAATATCGATATATTTTTGTCAAAATTTTATGATACTTCAAATTTATATTTTATTCAAAAATAAAAACATCATCGTTTTTTCAAAATCACATAAGACCATACTACAACATCGACTAAGATAAAGAATAAAATGAAATATTAAAATCAAGATGTATTTCGCTACATTGTGCGAGTACCCTTCTAATTATATTATAAAGCATTTGACATAAACTCTTAAAAACCTACCAAAGGGTCTTTCCTAGCGGTATCGTAGCCTTTGGCTCTTAGAAGGTCAGGGGTTTAAACCTCACCATAGGTGAGGAGAGTGTGTGAGTTTATTTGTTGCATTTGCCGTATATCTATACTATATTATAAAGCATTTGGCTAAAACTCTTAAAACTCTTAAACCCGTTCATCCCTAAACGATTTCATCCCTACCCGATTTAATCTCTATCCGATTTCATCCCATATCTGAATTTGTATAACTAACTGCAGATAA